AGGTCAGGAGAGGGACAGTTGGATGCTCCTGTTTTAGAGAATGGGAAACTGACCTATGACTGGGTTAAATAACTTACACAAAATCACACAGGACAACATAGATCTTGTTTTAAGCAAAAGTTTTCATTTAGATCACGTCTTTTCAGCAGTCATTTTTCTATTACTGTGATGAAAAGTGAACAGTACTCTTCTTATCTGCTCCTCCGAATTCTCCTGTGGCACACTGCTAGGGTAAAAACGATTCATCCTGAGTGAGTGAGTGTGTGTATATATGTGTGTGTATATTTCCCAGGTGTGTGTATGTACCCATCCACATGAATGCCTACATGCCTACTGAAGAGTAGGGGAAGTCAATTCCGTATTCTTCAAGAGTGATACTAGAAGACAAGATACCTTCTTTCCTGTCTCATAGAAGTTTCTACAGAGAAATCTCTTACTTCCTCGAATTTCCACCTCAGGCAAAATATTCTTTGACCTTTGAATCCCACTGCTTACCTGCGATTCTATTACATCTTTAAGTAACTCAGTCAGTAAACATTTATTAAGCACCTACTATGTGCCAGGCACTGTGTTAAGTGCTTAACTTGAAGTTAATATCAATTCTTGGTTCCCTGGTATCCTATGTTGAATTGACCTCAAGACCAGCTCTATATTTACTATGCCATGTAATCTCTCCTATAAATAGCATCTTAATTTTTACAAAATACTTCCCTCATGACAACTGGGCAACACGTAGTGAATTGTCCTCTATTTTACAGATGAGGAAACTGAATTTGTTGAGAAGTTAAATGTCTTACATATATGACCATATATTCAGAGACGGAAGGAACATTTGAGGGCATCTAGTCCAATTCCCTTTTTTTATACATGAAGAAATTGAATTTTTCTGGCCCAAGGCCACACAGGTAGTAAGTTGGAAAGGTGGAATCTGCTTTCCTGAGTCGAAGTTTAGCATTCTTTATACTATACCATGCTGGGTCCCAACACCTTCATTTACCTTTGTCTTTGCCCTGTATTGATGAATTTTGGCACTGGGCTTAATCACTTACCAATGTCCTCTTATCAAAGCAACAGCCTGACTGACACATTGTTGAAGAAAAAGTATTAGGTGTCTAGCACTCTATGGGAAAATTGCTCTATCTCAAGAGGCAGCAGTGGTCTGATAGAAAGTGCATTTGCGGGAGGGGGGAACTACTAAAATAGACAAACCATTAGCTAATTTCATTCCCCTCAAAGAATGAAAAACCACATTGCCAATATAAAAAATGAAAAAGCAGAAATTGAATGAATTAATAAAAGAATTTGTTAAAAATTATTTTGCCCAATTACATACCTCCAAAACTGATAACTTAGAAATAGGTGAATACTTAAAAAATCATAAAATATCAGGATTAACACAACAAAAAAAAGAGGATTTTAATAACCTGATTTCAGAACAAGAAATTAGATTATAAATGAACTCCCAAAGGGAACAAAAACAGGCTCAGATGGATTTAAAAGTGAATTCTATCAAACATTCAAAGAATAATTAATTCTAATGCTGTATGTTATTTGGAAAAAATTTCAAAAGTATCCAACTGAATTCTTTTTATGAAACAAATATGATTCTAATACCTAAGATGGGAAGAGTCAAATCAGGAAAATATACAAATATCCCTAATGATTATTGCTGCAAAAAATATTAAACAAATTTTTGGGAAAAGCCTACAACAACAGATTAAAAAGATTATCCAGTATGATCAGAATAAATTTATTCCAAGAATGCAGAGATAGGTTAACATTAGGAAAATATATTATATACCATGTGAAGGATAATAACAATAAACTCGCATAGTTATATCAAAAGATTCAGAAAAAAATGAGACAAAATGTAGTATGCATTTATGTGAATAACTACTAGAAAGCACAGGAATAAGTAGATATTTCCTCGAAATGACAAATAGTATCTAGCAAAAACCAAAACCCGTCATTCTCTGTAATATAGCAATAGTAGAGATCTTTCCATGAAGATAAGGGATAAAGGAAGGATATCAGTTGCTACCAGCATTATTTAATATAGTTCCAGTCATGTAAGCTATCACAATACAGTAAGAAAAAGAATTTGAGGAAATTAGCACTGGTAAATAAGTACCAAAATTATCTGTATTTGCATGTGATGTGATGGTTTACCTAAAAGAAAACCCCTAGAAATTCAACTAAAATTAATTGAAACACTCAATTAACTTCAGCAGACACATATAAAATACTGCCAATCAACTTTTCTGTATGCTATTTAAAAAACCCCCAGCAGAAATAGAAAAAGAAGTCCTATTAAAATTAAGTACAGTATATATAAAGTATCTTTAAGTCCATCTGCCAGGACCCAGTCAGAATCTATATGAACACAATTACAAAGCACTTTTGCAGAAATAAAGGAAGACCTAAAGATTAAGGAATAAAGAAATAAAGTAGAGAGGTAGTAATATTTCATGGTTGGGCTGTACCAATATAATTAAAATAGTGATTTGTCTAAATTAATTGTTAAAGTTAGTGTCCTACCAATCAATATCAAGGAGTTATTATATAAATCTAGATAAAATAATAACACAATTTATTTGTAGGACAAAAGGTCAAGTATCTCAAAGGAAGTAAAATTTTAAAGTGGGTAGTAAGGGAGCCTAGCAGTATCAGATCTGAAACTATATTATGTATCAGTAAAACTATTTATTATCAATTAAATAATACAAAAGTTGATAAATGGAATAGGTTAGGTAAACAATACCCAGAAGTAAGCAAAAATAAAAAGTACAACATAGTGTTCAATAAACATAAGGACATTCACTTACTAGTGTGGAATAAAAACTCTTTTACTCGAGTACTTTGAAAGTACTTCTAAAATTGCCAAATGGTCTAATAGAACACAATACCTTAAGCCATACACTGTAATAAACTCTAAATGGATACACGACCTAAATATGAAAAGTCATATAATAAAATTGGAGGACAAAGGAAGGAGATACCTTCCACAACTAAATTAGAATGAGAATTCTTACCTGAAGAAAGAGCAGAGATGATTATAAAAGATAAAATGATTTTTTTTGATTACATGACATTGAAAACCTTCTTAATAAGCAAAATAAATGTGGGTACAATAAGATGAGAAATCATTTGCTTGAGAAAATCATTACAACAAATCTAATATATAAAATATATAAAGAATTTATAGGAATATATAAGAAATAGAGCCATTCCCCAAGAGATGGTCAAAAGACATGAACATCTGGTTCTCAAATGTAGAAAAGCAAGCTGCTAACAACCATATGAAAAAATGCTCCAAATCACTTAAGAGAAATTCAAAGCAAAACAATTCTGAGGTTCTGCCTCAGACTGACAAAGAAGACCAAAGAGAAAAATAGCAGTTGTTAGAGAAGATGCGAAAGGATAGGCACATAAGTGCATTGTTGGTAGAGTTGTAAACTGGTTCAACCATCCTAGAAAACATTTTGGAGCTATATCCCAGAGTGAGGAGTAAACATGGTAAAAGGAAAGGTCACAGTTGTCATACCTCCCCAAAAACTTCTTTTACAATAACCACAGACATTATACCAAACCAAATTCGGAGTGGGAAAGCCAACAAAAAGTCACACTGAGTCATTTTCCTAGCCCAGGGCAGCTTAGGAAGATAGAGGGGTTCACAGAGATTGGAGTGGGGGCTGGCCAGGAGTACAGGGAAATGGACTGGGTGGTGGTGAGGCTGTGATGGCAACAATGGTGCTAAGCAAGGGGACTAGACAATTGATTAGAAAGAGATCTCAGGGGACCCCATGCTAGCAATAGGCACAGATCCAGTTGCCATTTTGCAGGTCCATTACCCAGTTCCAGGCCACAGTTCTAGGATGAAGAAGAGAGGTTAGCTCAAGGGAGCAGGGGCCCTACCTGGCTAAAAACCAGAGCATAGACATGGAGGGCAGTGAACAGACTTCTCCCCAGGTCATACCATGTTGGAAGCATTGAAAACTTACAGGCCCCTAGACCAAGCTTGTGCAAACAGCAATAGGATATAAGACACAAACTCTGGTCAGTTATTCATTCTAGAGGTTAACAGAGACTAACTCTAACATAAAGTCCAAAGTCAAGAAGTATGCTGGAAAAATTACAAATAACAAAATAACAAAAAGGAATCTGGCCATAAAAACTTCTGTGGTGACAGGGAAGCTCAAGACAAACTTAGAAGACAGTGACTTGAAAACATCTAAAAGCAAAGCCTCAAAGAAAAATGTAGGTTGGACACAAGCCCAACAAGAATTCCTAAAAGAGCTAAAGAAAGATTTTTAAACTAGCCCTGCCCCCCCCAAAAGACTTTAAAGATAGATAAGAGGAAAATTGGGGGGGAAATGGCACAAAAAGTACTGAAGAAAATAACTCCTTAAAAACCAGAATTGGCCAAATGGTAAGTAAAAGAGGTACACAACTTCACTGAAGAAAAGAACTCCTTAAAAATGAGAATTAAATAAGTGGAAGCAATGGCATGAGAAACTATATCCCAAAAGACACAAAGTTGGTGCATATCCTTTGACCTAACAATGTTATTAGTCAGGTACCCCAAGGAGATCAAGAGAAGACATATATGAAGACTATTTGTAGTAGCACTTTTTGTTGTAGTAAATAATTAGAAAGAAAATAAATGCTCAGCAATTAGGAAACTGATGAACAAATTGGGATATGAAAGTATAAGGATAGAGACTAGACCTGTGATTTCATAGCTATAAGTAACTCCCTCAAAAATGCAGGTCAGAACCTTCTCTGTAACTTCATTTTAAATTGATGCTTAAAGCATTAAGAAACTAAAATGACGTAGCCAGCATGAATTAGAGGTTAGACTGAAACCCAGGTCTTGCTGGCTTCAAGGACTGCTCACTATTCACTATACCAAGTTGTTTCTCATATAAAAATAGTGGGATTTTATTATATCACAAGAAATGAGGAACATGATAAATTCAGAAAAATATGGAGAGACTTACAAGATATGTTGCAGTGAAGTTAGCGAGAGTCAGAACAATTTACATGGTGACCATAGCAATGTGAAAGAAAACAAGTGAAAGAACTCAGAACTCTGAGCAAAGCACTGACTAATCAAAAAGTTGATGATACCTTCTATCCCTTGGCAGAGAGGTGATGAACTAGTGGTTATAGAACTAGACATTCATTCAGATTCAAGGTCAGTATTAATTTTTTTGGCCTGATTTTACATAGTTGCTATAAGGGATTGCTTTAATATGGGGAAAGAGGTGGTAGAATACTGGGTAGTAATAGACATGGAAAAAAAGAGAAGCAACATGGCATTTTCTTCACTGAAATTAATTGAATAAAATAAAATAGTTACTATAAAAGTTTAGGTGGTTGTAATGATGGTCATTATTACATTTTAAATACAACATTGATTTTTTTTTAAAGTTGAAAAACACTGGATTGTGAGTCAGAAGACACATGTTCGGATTGTAGCTCTGTTGTGTAGGTTTGTGGGATTTAGTCCCGTTTTCTGTACAACAGTAAGCATAGTTTACTTTTATATAGTATATTACATGCTTTATCTCATTTGAGTCTCATAGCAACTTTGTGGAGTAGGTACTATTATTGTCCCTATTGTAAAGATGAGGAAACAGAATTTCGTAAGGGCAAAATGACTTGCCAAAAGTCACACAGTTAATAACTGAGGTGGTATTTGAATCCAAGTTTTCCCCTGGTTCAGTCTACTCTCTGCGACTATACATATATTCCTACTTTCCTCACAGAGCTGTCCTGAGTGGGTCCAGAAAAGTGAGGAAATCAGGGCCTCTGAGGTTCCTGATACACAAAGTTACTCTCCTTTTGTGATTCTTTGGGAAACAGACCCTTCTGAAAAAGTAAACACTGGCAAATGTATAACAAATGTATAACATCTTTTTAAAACATGTTCTATCTGCATCTAAGGCATCTGTGGTGATCTGTAAATGAAAATATTTTAATTTCTACCCTTACATTTAAGTCTCATACATATAATTCAGCAGGGACCCAGGCTCAGGTACTACAACTGTTGTTCCCAAGAAACAGGATAATGGAGAAAGTACTGGATTTAGTGATCCGGTTTCAAATCCTGACTCTGCCATGTGACCTTGGTAAATGAATTAACTTCTCTGAGCCCTAGTTTTCTCATCTGCCAAATAGGTATAATATGCATATTCTATATCTCATAGAATTTTTGTGAGGTTTGAAAGAGATAACAGAAAGAGTACATTGTAACCAACAAGATACAATATAAATATCAGTTCTTACTATTAATTCATGAGTGAGGTCTTATTTAAATGAATAAATCTTTTATAACAAAAGCACAATGGAGACTGAGTTTTTGTGAGGACAAAGAGATAGCGATTATAAAGGACTTTGGAAATTACAGAGCACTGTGTAAATGTAAGCTATTATTAATTCACAGAAAAGGTCTTATGTTAACAAATCCTTTACAATAAAAGTATAAACAGAATCCCAATTCCCTTATTTTCTAATTGTTCTTCCTTGCTGTGGACATTGGCCAGTGTTTGGATTTAGGCCAATAACCTATTTTCTATAGGCAAGTCAGATCTAGCAAGGGGAAGTCTATATGCACAATTGGAGAAACTGAGCACATCAGCCCCTGCTGGTTTTATAAGAATGGTTCACAGATTCTAACACATTTTACAACTTTGAATTTGACTTAGTCACTAGAGGTACCAATGAATTATGAGTCTATATGGTTAATAAAATAGCCTCTGTATTTAGTCAGTAAGAAATGCTTCTAGAGCTGATCTCTGGCTGACTGCCTTGTTTTCGCAAGCAGTGCACTTCTAAGGCTTCATAATTGGGTATGGCTATGAGAGATCTGTGACACTTACTGATTCCTGTCTCTGAAACACTTTTGTCTCCTTAACAAGGAGCTTGTGTCTGAATATAAAGCCCTTAAGAAACAAAAGAAATCAATCATCACACAAGTCACCATGAAAACTGCTACTTCAAGGAAGAATTGCCCAAGGCCTGGGCAGTATGTGTCTGAAAATTCTTATGAAGCTCTAGCCTTTGACTGCCTTATTAGAATTGTACTTTTGAGGAAGGAAAGAGCCCAATATAGTTGGAAGTCCAAAGGGAACAGTATCTTGACAATGAGTAAATGATTTATTTTCCTAAATCTTCCTTAAGAATCCTTAACAACAGGGGCAGCTAGGTGGCTCAGTGGATAGAGCACCGGCCCAGAAGTCAGGAGGACCTGAGTTCAAATCTGGCCTCAGACCAAACACTTAACACTTAATAGCTGTGTGAGCCTGGACAAGTCACTTAACTCCAATTGCCTTAAAAAAAAAAAAAGGAATTATTAACAATAACAAACATTATAGTAATGACCCCCTACACAGAAGGGAATCAATCAATGTTGAGTTGTATTGCATTACATTGAATTAACTTACCACTGCCCAAGGTGCCATGATGGACACTGTGGATACAATAATGAAAATTGATTCTTTCCCTAGAAGGCAGGATAAGGCATACACACCAATAACTAGAATGTAATTTAAGTTATGAAGCACATAGCTAAGGTCCAAGTGAATGACCTGAGAGGTTTAAGGAAGGAGGCATGACTTAAAAAAATTTTTTAAGACTAGATCTCCCTGTCTTACACAGGCTGGAAGTGCAAGGCTGATTGGCATGAGAGCTTTGATCTGCTCTGTTTCTAACCTGAGCTGGTTCACCCCTTCTTAGGCAAACTGGGGATTCCCCTCCATATTAATGCCAAACTTAGTGCAGACTTATGCCAGTCAACATAGCCCCGTGCAGCTCAGAATTTCAAACTTAAAGAGATCTCAGATTCTCCAGTAGCTGAGATTACACATTTATCCCATCCCTTGTAGTGGAGGGATCACTTTTAGCAGGGAACATAAGATCATAGGATTATAAATTTAGAGCTGGAAGGAACCACAGAGGCCATGTAGTCTCATTAATCCTCATAATTCTCTCATTGTATAGATGAGGAAACCAAGTCCAAGAAAAATGAAGTGACAAGGTCAAGCAGGCAGCATCATGTAAGAGGTGGCATAGGAGTTGAACCTTGAAGATACTTGAAGGACTTCTGCTGGTGAGATAGATTGGTGGTCCAAACAAGAGAAGGCAGCATGAGAATAGGAAATGGTTCAGTATGATTGGAGGATATAGTACTTGAAAGAGAAGAGTATAAATTATAATTGGAAAATAAGTTAGAACCAGAGCATGGAATGCCCTGTATAATAAGTAAAAAGTTAGTACTTTACTCTTTATATGAATGGGGGCTAGGAGAAGATTGATGGTTCTCAACTGAGGGAGAAGAACATGAATGGCCTGATAAGGATTAATAGAATGATTAATTTGTAACAGTGTGAAGGCTGGACTGAAAGGCAAGAAAAATATAGTCCAGAAAGCAAGTTAGTAGACTATTGTAGTGGTCCAGGTAAGAGATACATGCACTGAATTAAGGCCATATGAGTTTAAAGTAAGTGGATAAAAAAAGTGTCAAAGGTAGAATGGGCAGGTGTCAGTGATTGAATGGATATGGGCTGGAGAAAAGTTAAGAGGTTCTCATTTAAAAAATGAGTCTCTGGGAGAAGAGTGGTATCAACAATAGAAATAGGGAAGTTATAGGAAGAGGAATATTCAGAGGGGAAAGTGATGAGTTAAATTGTACATAGGTTGAGTTTGAAGTATTGACAAAAAATCCAAATGGAGAAATCCTGTAGGCATCTGGATATGTAAAATAAGAATTCAAGGGAGAGGTCAGATCTGAGATTTAAGGAGTCATTCGCATACAGGTGATAATTAAAGCCATGGAAGTGAATGAAATCACTAAGGGAAAGATGATTGCTATTATACATCACCTTTGCCAATACAAATAATAATGGAATAACCATCTCTACAGATTTCTCCTCTTACAGATGCTTCCTCTTATTTGGGTATCTAAAGGGGTCATTCCTAGCCTTTCTGGAGTTGGGATATCATATTGTCAATTCTGGAACAGAGCAAACATTTCCCTTTCCTCTCTATATTGTGTCCCTGCCACACCCAAAGAGAAGGTGGTGTGAATCAATGGAAGAGAGTGTGTAGTACTTGGAGTAAATAGATCTGGGCTACACTATCATGTGTCCTTGAGCCAGTCACATAACTTCTCTGAGGCTCAGTTTCTTCATCTATAAAATGAGTGTATGGGACTAGATGTCCTTAAAGACCCTTCTAGTTCTGAATCTTCAATTCTATGATTTCCTGTGCATAATTACTCTAAGTAAATCTAACATTTTAAAAATTAAAGTGAATTTTTAAAGTAAGATATACTCTTCTTTAAACATCTGGATTATCTTTAGTATTGCTTCATCCCAAAGTTTTACCACTATAGAATGATAAACAAGTAGGAATTCACAATATTTCATAAATCTTGTACTTATTAACATGCAGAATGGGGAAGAGAGAAATCAGCATGGGTTTTAGATTTTAGTCCTGACTGTCATTTACTGGATTTGTGACTTTGGAAAGTCACTGAAATCCCTTCAGCCTTACTTTCCTCATCGGTAAAATGGGGACAATAAAACTGAGGCAGGTAGGTGGCACAGTAGAAAAAGTGCCAGACCTGGAATCAGGAAGACTCATCTTCCTGAGTTCAAATCTAGCCTGAGATACTTATTAGCTCTGTGACCCTGGGCTAGTCACTTCACTCTGTTTGCCTCAGTTTCTTCATCCATAAAACGAGCTGGAGAAGGAAATGGCTCCACTCCAGTATCTATGCCAAGAAAACCCCAAAAGGGGTCACAAAGAGTCAGATACAACTGAAACAACTGAACAAAAACAACAAAATGAGTCCAGTCGAAAGAACACTGTATTTGGAGTCAAAAAATCTGAGTTTAAGTCCTGGTGCTGCTAGACACTTCTGTGTGACTTCAGGCAAGCTATGTCACCCCTCTGTGTCTCAATTTCTTCATCTGTAATATTAAGATTTTTCATTGGCTGAATAATCTCTTACCTCCCTTTCCACTATACTATTCCATTAACTCCAATTCCATCGTCCTAAA